GTTCAAAGTAAGCCTTTACATAAATTTAAAGAAATTTAAGTGCTACGTGTTTAAATTTAAGTTTTTTTTTTTTTTCTCTTTGAACTTTAGTGGATAAAACGACAAGACCTATTGCTAGTGATTTACCCTGCTTATTTGCTGCACTTGTTGACAAATATCCAGAGAGTCATTTGAAGCTATGTTCCTCTAATACTGATAAATATGTTAAAAATGCAACAGGGAATAAAGTAAAAGACCGTTTAAAACTATTTGCTAAGTATTTTACTGAATTATTTTCATTAATTAATTCTTTAGATAATTATTCCATCTGTGTGAGACATTATAATCAAATTGTTACTAATGATCATTTACTTGAGAAATTAAAGAAAGATAATTTTATTTTTAGTTCTTCGGAAGAAGGCCAACCAAAACAACTTAAAATGACTATTGATAAAGATGCAGCAACTCAAAAAGAGGAACAAGACCAAGAACACATAAACCTTTCAATAGAATTATCAAAAATAAAAAATGAATTATTTGAATCGGAAAATCAAAGAATACATTATGTAAATCTTATAAGTCAGTATATGAAAAAAATAAATGAACTTGAGTCAGATAATGAAAGATTATTATTGGATAGGGAAAAATTATTATCAGAAAATAAAAAATTACAAGAAAGATTGGATGTAAAACTCAATGATTGTCAATCAAGAATTGAAATTATTACTGAAATTGCCAGGAAGGAACGTAAAACATTATATGATGATATCATCAATTTAATAGATAATAAGGAAAGATTTACTTTGGACAATCTTTTAAAATATTCACCTTCTGAATGGCTTTCCAAACGCAATCCAGTTGTGGTTAAATTTGTTGAAACACTTATAGGAAATGAAACTGAGAAGGAGCAACTTGAAGGTGAAAAACTTTTTAGGTGTGCAGTAGTAGTCGATGCAATTTATGGGGCAAGATACAAAAGATATGTTTCTGAAGTCAACTTGGCTGCATCAGCTATTAAATATTCTCTAGCTAAATCTAAAACTATAATTGACATTGATAACCACATCTTAAGTTCTGGTAGCTATTCTAAATTTATTCAATGGCAGGAGAGTCTAGCTCAAAAACGTGAACCATTTTCTAAAGGTTTAACATTTATAGCATTCGATAATGAACAAAAAGGGCAAAAAAATTATTTAGATCGTGGACACAATACTGTTACATATCATACAGTTACAAGTTTCGTTTCATTTAATTTTGATACCACAGATCAAACACAAGTCCATAAAAATCCTTGGTTGCGTAAAACCTTTGATTTATCAAAGATTCAAGAACTTTTTAACATCACACCAGAAATGCAGATAGTGCTTGATCAACAACTTCATGATTATCTTTCTGTTATATTAAGTGAAGCATGTGTAGAAAAGAAAAAAAACATAAACCCTATTGATAATCTTATAACTAAATATAGTTCAAAGATAGGAAAACTAAAATGGTGTGGTGAATGTGGTAAAAAAGAGATTGAAAATTCAAAGCGCAAATGTCCTCAATGTAATGCACAATTACCTATACTTGCTGAGTTCCAATCAAAAGCACAAGAAATAAATCAAGAAACATTCGAAGAAAATACTATAGGACCTCTAAATATTAAATTCTACAAAAATGAAAAAGAAACTTTAGACACAAATAGAAATCCCATTAGTATAACACAAGCATCTATGCCACAGGAAGGTGTCAAAGTGCCAGATATGTTTGTTCCTGATCCTTTTCCAGTAAATCCAAACTCCATTAATAATGTTCGTAAGGTACAGGAAATCAGTGGAATCAACAGTCAAGAGAGAAAGTGGATTGCAGTTACATGTGATGGAGTTCCATACCATCATGCACAAAAATTCAAAAAGGAATATCCAGGAATTATCTTGTTACCTGGACCCCTCCATGAAGAAATGAATATGCTAAAGGCTTTTGTAGAATTAAATTGGTATGTTTTGATGTCAATATAAAATTTCTTATTATTTTTTTTTTTTGATTAATAAATAATATTAATACCATACTATCATGTAACTATGATTACAGGTCTATTGATTTAAAATATTTTGCACAGTGTCAAGGGTTTCGAAATGAAAGTCAATTAGGGTATTATAAAAAATGCTCAGATCATCACAAAGCATGGGACTCTGTGTGTAATATTTATCGTCATGCAATGGCAATGGAATTAATATGGCCATATGTTGCTACAGAGTCTGATCCCTCTGTTGAAGGATACCTTAACTGGGTTAAGAACCAAAATAATGAGTTATATAAATTAAAATATGAGCAAGTAGGTTTTTGTTTTATATTTAATTTTAAACATTTATTTTGTTATATAATTCTTAATAAAAATTTTTTAAATTATTAGATTTTTTGGTACTTACAAGCAATAATAAACTTTCGCACAGGTATAAGAAATAATCAACCATTGCTTAAAGCAGCTGCACGTAGAATGTTTGCTCCAATATGGTCTGGTCGTAGACATCCAATTTATCAATTAATTGAAGTTGCTGATGAGGAACAATTGATGTGTCTCCACCCTGAAATAAGGAAACTTATTGAAGAAAATTCAGTTGTATCCCGTTCAGGATTTTTACATCAGCATCAGGGATTGGATGCTATACTTGAAGAGGTAAATAAATCTCTTAAGACACTTACTCCACCTGTACCAACCCAAAAACATTGGGAAATTGCAGCTAGAAATTGTACAAAATTTATGAAGGTAGGTTATTTCAATAAATTATTGTTTTTTGGATAGTACTATTAATTTTTACATGTTTTATTTTTGGCCTAGCAGCTTCGAAAGAAATTGTTTGCTACAATTGGTTATGCAGACCAAGAAAGTACTGGTTCTCGTACACGACCACACTTTGAAAAAGAATCACAGAGTTTCCGAGCTGAATTGAGAAATGCTGGATTCCTTAATCCATATAAAAATAATACTGTCTTTCAAAGTTTGGATGGTATTACTGAATTAAGTGAATCATTGAAATCTTTTAGTAATTTAGCTCAAGGTCGTCGTATAAATTTTATCAAAGAAAAAATAATCTCAGGAAAATCATCAGGAATTATTTGCCCTATTCCTATTACTGCTGAAGAAGAGATGAAACAATCAGATGAAAGATCATTGTCAAAGAATGAATTATTGTCTGTAATTCGAATATTAATTGGATCCTTGGACCAGTCTAAAAGGCCACAATTCCAAGGATTAAAAGCAAAAAATAAAGATCAATTATTAACAATTTTGCAACAAGTTCAGGACATTCACAATGGCAATGAAACAGGAATGATATAAGAGGAAGTGTAGTAGTTATCTAGGAAAACTAAAGCAACTCTAAGATAAGTAAAATTATCATGATTATTATTTGGTATTAAATTGTTTAACCATTAATTTATTGTTTTATTATATAGTAGTGATTTATCGAAAAAATTTCAATTTCATTATTAATAATATGACTTGTTATTTTAATCTTGTCAATGTGATTTATGTAACAAAATATATATATGTAAACAAAAATCAATCATTAAATTATTATAAAAAGATTATGACTGGTGAAAAAATAGGCACTGTCTGCTTAATAGAATGATGAGATACAAAGCTTGAAATTTATTTTATATATTAAAAACATATTGTCACAAAACATTTTTCAACTGGTTTTGCTAGAGCCTCGTATATATTAAATGCTTTAATTTTTTTGTAGCAGATGATGAATAATTTGCATATGACAACTTACTAAAATAATAACAATGGATGAATATATATATGACATAATTATTTTATTAAAGGATATGCCATTACATTCATTGAATTACCAAGAAAAAGGCTTTTAGAAATGAACATAATTTAATTTTGACTAAAAATTTGTTGATCAGTTTGTATTCTGCTGGATTGTAGAATTTTCCATTCAATTTCTAGAATGCCAATCATTACAATTTTTAGAAATTCCATATTTGGTAATAATCCTGACTGAAATATATCAACTGACCTCTTACACGTTCTATGAACTTCTAATAATAGCCAGATGATGCATGAAAAAAAAAAAAGTAATGTATATGGATTAGACTAAAACGTAAACATTTTAATATTCAAATGCCAGCTCTATTGTTCTACGAGATTAATTTGTGATACCGCTAAATTATTTTCTACCGTTACATATATAATGTTAATAATAAAGCCTTTTCTTATTGTATATTGTTTCTCTGATAAGAAGAAATGCTAATGAAACTCGAAAAGGATAAAAGAATGGAAAGTATATTGTTCTTATCAGTAATAATATCAAAACTCATATGTTATGGAACTTGAGATCTTTACAATCTCCGAGATCGCCAAAATTTGTCTTATTTTTCATTCTACAAAAAGTGATCGCCAGAATGAAAGGTTTAATTTCCCATAAAAGGTGAAATATACTTCCCTCTTTGCGCTTGTGGTTTAATAGAACTACTTTATGGGGCAGAGATTCCATTAATTGCAGGTGAAAAGCATTTTTACTATCATCTCATTATGTTAATCTATTTTCTAGCAGGTTCCAGGTCAAGCAAATGAACAATATAAATAAATCGGATTTGTAAGGCTTCATTTCTTATCTTATCGAATTTTTTTTTTTAAGGTATGCATTATGAATAAATTTTTGAGTCAGAAATATAGTTACAACTTCATGTATTAATTAATAGTTTTGTTTTTTCTTAGCAGTTATGATGTCAGAAAACAAAATTTTATATGTGGAAGGAGAAACAAAAGACTTTGATACTGATCATGAGAACATCTGAGTAAAGATTGAAGTGTTAAATGAAGACATCGCGAGGGTTTTTCTTGTAGATAAAAATGATATTCCAATTGATGATTTAGAAAATGTAGTTTTTATGAATGTAGCGACTAAAAATAAAGTTTCAACTGTACTCATTGAGAATAGAAAAAGTTATCTCATAACTTGGATAAATAGCTACGAGTTATCTGTCAATGGTAGGAGAATTTTTAAGTTAAATCAACAGTTACCTTAAGATAATTTTTTTGGTGATTTTTTTGGTGATTTAACTGATTTCCTTTTTTTATTTTGTGGTGGTGGTGATTCAATGGTAGACACTGTTGAAGTTTGCGAAAATATTGACATATCTGATGATTGTGACATAAGTGACATTGTTTCTGTAGAGTCGTTAGTAGTATGCAATATTTTGCGTATCGTACATGCGATCACAGTTCTAAAAGTTAATAATGTATGAATAAGATGGTAAAGATCTTCCGGTTTTGTAGATGAAATGCATAGTGGAATAGTTGCTCATTTGAGTAGGCAGTTCTTATAAATGGGAGACATATCACACATGCAACGGAGTTCGATTGTATTACCAGCAATGTTGATTGTGAATATCGAAAGCATAGTTTTCATTGCTAAACTCCTGAACACTATCATTTTTTGATAAATTTGTGAAATCAATGGCATCTTTTGAAAGCTGATTTAACTTCTTGTGGTCCTGCCATTGCTTCTCAAGAGCGGAATCTGGTTGGCCAGTTTCGAGGTACCCGATTTTGACATTTTTTTTTTTTAATTTTGCAACAACTGCATAATCAGGCTGTCGTGCTCGTTTGAAAGAACCTTTTCACTCCGCACTAGCTAAGCTCACCTTATCCGCCCTTTAATATTTGATAAATCATGTTAATACCATCTCATGAACTCAAGCTGGTAAAAATAAGAGTTGAAATTACACCAACCAAACACCCCATATATCAATATCCACTGGTAAATCTCTCATTGCGATGTTAAATAATGGTGATAACACCTCACATACATAGGACCCTTCATTTATGGTTTATTCCTTCGTTTCTGTGAATAACCTCCACTTTGGGGATCCCCATATCATGGCACTGGGATAATTAATTTAGTTAGATTAATAATAATATTTTTCAGCTTGTTAATACAAGCAAATCATATAGAAAAACGTACAATACTCCAAACATCTGATTCGCCAATTCTTTTATTTCCTCAGGCCGATCTAAAAATTCACCGAACGATGCATCTCCAAATCTCTTCAAAGATCTTTCCAAAATCCTTTTATTCTCCCTTTCAACAAAATCTCCGCAAACATGCTTCAAGGGTTCACAATCAGGAAGAAGGAATTTCTTACTTGATGCCCTGAAGATTTTGAGAAGCTCTTCTGGTATTTTGGTAAAAGGAGCTGAGCAGTCATCAAGTATTCCTGAGCACAAAGGGTGATCATATCCAAGGTCTTCCACCTTTATATTGAGCAATTCTCTTTCTATAGTTTCCCACATAATTTTATCAACACCTGTGATCGTTACTGCAAGCTGAATTTTCTTGTATTAGTACAAATATTGGATTTCGAATTAAGACATTATTAATGGATACATACCTTATGTACATCACGTTTCAACTTTTCGAAATTATTAGTCGCATTGCTTACCCAATTTACATCCGCCTTCTGTAAATGTAAAACAATTAGTTACCTTGTAGCTTATATCCAGTTGAAGAGTTATGTTCTTACCAAAGAGTCTATTTCTATCATACCACAAATATAATCGAATGCCTCCGATACCTAAAAAAATAGAGATTATCCCGGTTAATCCTTAGATAACTAAATTCAAACTCATAATAAAGGCGAATGCATTCAGGTTCAGTTGGGTTTCTATTTTCATGCATTTTCTCAAGAACGCCGGCTGTATAAGTTTATGACCACAGTAGAATACTATGTATAGTGTGGATACACATAAGCAGTTACTGCCAACGAGCCCACAGTATTAGCGTTATTTTTGCCCCATTTTCTATTAACATAACACTGTGGAGGCGAAGTCCATTCACCGCTTACATATCACTATACGTTTCATCAACTGTGGCGATTACGAGAAACCAATAAAAATCATCATATCCATATTTAATTTTAGAGATATAGAAAAAATCTTACACGTTGTCTCAATACATCCCCATTCCCAAAATCATTAAGTTTTCTTAACCGCTCCCAATCGTCTACACTGATTTCAATGCATCATCATGTACCTTAACAAAATTTTTGATTTCTTTCTCACGATCATTTGTCCATTCATTCTCCTCAATTCGCTTATACAAAGCAGTGAGAATATTTATAGCTGAAATTGGATTATAAGAGATAAAAAAATTTTCCATTTTTTATATAAAAGTATTTAACATAGTGTTAGTGAAAAAAAAAATGCAAAAAAAAGCAATTAGAATGTATAATTTAGATATACTGTCCTTTTTAAACATTTTCCTTCTATATCTTCCTCTGGATCTATCGAATGAATAATAATGCAGAGAGATAATGTATTTACACCAAAAAATTTCTCACACAAAGAAAATGAATGAATGCTAATTAATCGAATTCGGTTAATCACACAAATAAACTTGCATGCATAATTTATATAGTCGCACTACATATACAAGTATTCCGAAATTTATGGGTCGTACACAAATATGTTTTAAAAAAATAACAAGTTTTGTAATCGAGGATGTGCAAGTGAGCAGGAGAGAACACAAAATTTTAACCCACGCAATTTGGTGATTGACCAATCAAAATCGTGAATTTGATAACGTAGAAATTAATATGGGTTTGATTCAACAATCGCCTCACCAACAATCATTTTGTTAACGAATCTAAGAAGTTGGAAGCAACCATGCGACAAACCATTGAAACAGTCTAATAAAATCGTACTACTCGAAAATGTATTTAAAGGGTTGGTTTTCGACTTGGTTGAAGAATAACTCTCTTCCTAACTCTTCTCTTGACCATATCTCTTGATATAATCAAAATAACCTTAACATAATGAACGACAATTAAATGATCGTAAACGTGGCCAAATTAAGATACACAATCGAGAGGAAACATGAATGATGTATGAAAAATCAAACAAATTTATTTAATAAAAATCATGTGACTGTAAAATTTTTGCATTTTTGATTGGACTAAGTGACTTTCACCATACGTACAAAGTAATCTATTAATAGCCTAACGCATACGTACAAAAGAAGTCGAGATGTTATTATATATATACTAGATTAATATTAAGGTTTTTAACTTTTATGCAGTTTTTACTTTCATAAGCTTGCATGTGTTATCATGGTGATATGATGTATACAAAACAGTCCAATTTTTAACATTATTATTTTATCACTATAGTAAAAAATGATATACAAAATAGTCTAATTTCAACAAAAAATGCTTTCGACAAATGTTTTCAACATTTATTTACTATTACAAAAAACCAAATCAGCGTTGACTCATCTCCATCGACCCTTTTCATTTAACAATTTCAATCCCTTGTATTCATTTATCAACGTTCCTACCTACCTTCAAGGAATCAAAGCTGAAATCAAAAATGTCCATAGAAAGGAGATCGACTCATCACCACATAGAACCGACCAAGAGCAAACTTATTTTGATCTATGGTCAAGGTGACGTTCGGCAACGTCAAGTCTTGTGGACGGTTAATGCAAAAGAGTTCTGTAAAGGGATTTCACTTCGGTTTGAGTACTGGAAAGAAATGAGATATTGTCGCTGGATTGCTTGGGTTGATTTTTTGGATCTGGTTGTAGAAAGTGGGAAATGGCATAATGATTGATTCCATGATCCATGATTTCAAAAAATTAAATTAAGTGTAGACAATTTTTTTTTGTTAATGAGCAAAAAATTTTATTTATTTTATTGAACAAAAAAATCTAACCACATCAATTAGATTTAAATTGAAAATTAATTTCACAACAGAAACTATCAGATCCTTCATTGTTAAAAATTCATTCAAGGTTTTTACATTTCTTTTAAACCTTTTTGATTTAAGGAATTTAATCTCCTATACTCACTCATGACATTGACGTCCACTTTCAAGCAGTCAAAGTCAAAGGACAGTATATCCACCGAATTCCAGGAAGGGGTCCTGCTCATCGCCACATAGATCTGACCAGCAGCAAACATATTTTCGTCGATGGTCAAAGTCGAATGCGGTAATGTGAGGCCCTGAGTCTTGTGAACGGTAAGCGCGAATGCGTTCTGGTTTTCGATCGAGGTAAACGCCTTGTAGTTGTAGTCGACGAATTCATTTTCGTCGCACCTGTAGGTTGTGACACCAGCCAAAGCAGAGGTCCCAGAAACTGTCTTGATGTAAGAGATAGCGGTGAAGACGGATGTCATTTTTCAGGAAAAAAAAGCCAAAGATAAAGAAAAGATAAGCCAAAGTGCTATTGTGTTATTTTTTATTTATCATTTTATCAAAGAATTTTCTTCAATTGAACAGTTTATATATCAATCAAAAAAATAACTAACTCGCTTAAAGCTTAAAGGGAAGAAGGATCACAATCAAAAATCACAATAAAAAAAAATGACTAATTCACGAACGGAACAAAAACTTTGCAACGGCACGTTCATTCATTGATCAAATGTGATTTTATTATGTGACGACCGTATTTACTTAATAATCATACACTTTAGTACTAGTGTAATTTTTGTTTGTTGTATATATATATAGATAGATAGACTACTTTGTTTGCAACATAAACTCACTTAAAGGGAAGAAGGATCACAATCAAAAAAAATGACTAATTCACGAACGGAACAAAAACTTTGCAACGGCACATTCATTCATTGACCAAATGTGATTTTATTACATGATGACCATATTTGCTTGATCATACACTTTAGTACTAGCATAATTTTTGTTTGTTGTATATATATAGATAGACTACTTTGTTTGC